GAGAAGAGAGAGAGATAAAAGATTAATATGTCAAAATATTATCCCACCACAAGAGTAAATAGAGAAATGGTGATCATATCTCCATAAAATAGATGAATTCCCCTAGAGCTAATAGGAGGTTAGGGCAAGTACAATTTCATTTAAGGACCAAATATACCTATAAAATGCAGATATAGCCCCATCTTCCTTTTCTGAGTTAAACTCTGCCTCCCAAAATATCAGGAAAAAAAAGGAAAAAAAGTGAAATTAGCTAATCCTGTATCTGAAATTCCATTAGAATTCCAACAAATGAAACCATAGATGAATGAAACAGATGGGTGATGGAAGTCCAGTGTAAGCCCTGATCTAATTGGATATAACTCAGAGTTCTTTTATCTATAGCATTTTGTGATTTGAATTATTTTCCTGAAATCATCATACGTTTTCAGTTTTTACTGGGTTGAGTCCCCTCTAACATCCCTTCCCATTTTATGGTTCTGTGACTATGGCTGGATAACTCAGACTTTGAAATCTTATTTTGGAGAAGAAAAGCTGGTAAGAGAAAGGTGCTGTCTAGAGTGCCATGCTATTTCTGAGCTTTTTTGATTCCTTTATTCTAAGCCTGTTTAAAGGTAATGTCTGGATAATGTGATATTTATTCATAGGATTGTTGCGAAGAGTAAAGAAAAATGTATCTCAAGAACCTAACTTACCATAGTATTTGGCGTAATAAATGGCAGCTATTAAAATATGTGAAAAGTACTTTGTAACCTTGTAGTTTGCAAATATTAGTTATAATTACTCCCTTGGCACAAATTGAGAATAACAATCTGTTTAGAAACAAATAATAAATTTGTTTTTGTCTAAGTCTCACGTTATCTTTTAAAATGTTAAATAACTATTGCAGTGAATGGGACTTCTGGCCCACTAAAATTCATGAGTCAAGAATCGTTTGCGTCTACTTATATAGGTGTTTGCTTTCATCTAAAATAATAACTTAGAGATATCTGAGAAAGCAGAAATCAAGCAACTGGACTTGTAGATATGTGTACCTTTATGAATCATGTACCACATATCTTAAAATGGTGACAATTTATAGAGCCAATGAAAAGTCACTTTCACTCAGGAAAGCCCACTTCTGTAAGGGTGAAACATCACATTGACAAATCCAATGTCAGCTAATTCGCTGTCTTCAGAGTCAACTGTGACGTCACCACTAAGCTCCATGTTGGGAAAACACCCAGAGGAGGTGCCAGCCAATGCAATTTTCAAAACAGAAGCCGGACATGAATTTAACCTTGATCATTCTACGTCCCTCCTATATTTTTGGAGTACAGTGTTAATAATGGAAAAATTAGTTTAAAAAATTAAAAACAATGGGATGGGTCTCCAGTTAAACTCTCCCAAAATTAAAAACAATGGGATGGGTCTCCAGTTAAACTCAAGCAGTCTTTTCAGAGTGCCCATAGAGTACCTGGAAATCTGTCAGACCAACACTTATTATAATTCCAGTTAGGCTGACAGACTAGTATGACAGCCTGACACTAATTAACTTACAAAATTTCAGAATCCAAGAGAGAAATGTGTTAGAAATGAGATGAAATAATACCTGATTTTGAAATTGGTGGAGTAAAAACACATAACTAGTGTATTGTAAAGACAAAAATATGTTGTATTCTTTTCATTTATAGGGAATTAAACATTTTATCCTGATTGCTGTTGGATTGTGGAAATACCAATAACCAATGTTTTCAAAACCAGTTCAGGTTATAAAGTAACAAAATGCATGCATGTCATTAAGCTAATAGGGCAAGGTCTTTGGCTCACCTGTAGGGCTGGCCTTATGAGTCAAGTATCTTACCTAGGGCCATTCTAGACTCTATTCCAATTCTTAATACTCTTTGAACTTGAAGCCATAACCCCTGAATATCATCATTTCCTCTGTTATCAGGTTATCACACTTGGGAGAGCATTTAAGAAGTTTATAGTCCAAAAGAATGTTTCTAAGATGGTGTAATGTCTGGGCATACCTTCTGTGGCCTTTTTCCTATTAGACACTGAGATAATTTCTTGGAAGTAATAAAACTGCTTCTGGCCACTTAAATGCAAAGACTAATCAAATTCTTGCCTCCAGTGGCCTATGTGATCATTAGCAAGCAGTTCAATAAATAATTTCATCTCTGCAAAAGTGCCATCGTATTTTCCTCCCAACATTCAACTCTCTTCTCTTGAAACATAGAATCTATTCACTGATACCCAAGCCCCAGCCATTCATGCACTTCCCAACCTCTTTCACTCAACATTGATTCACCATGCAAAAATTTTAAAAGAATATATTTTCCCCCATTGAGAAATGTGGCCAACTATCATGGAAGAGTTTACTCAAATTTCCCAGCTCCATCTTGAGAGACCCTAAACAACAAGGTCACACCTCTCATTGTCTTTGAATCAGCAGGCTAATCATAGCAGGTTATTTTCATGACATTGTTCTTGGAAGAAGCCACAAGAACAAGCCCCACCAAATGAGCATATTTCAAATCTTTACTCACATCATGTCTGCTAACATCTCATTGGCTAAAGCAAGTCACATGATCAAACTCAACTCAGTAGGATGGGGAAATATATTCTGCTCACAGGGAAGTGAATATTTGCTGAACAATAATCTAAACTGTTACACCCTACTTGCACTGAGTTCAAAATACTTGAAGATCATAGTAATCAAAGATAGATCTCAATTCCACCTGTGAGAAACAATTTTTAAGAAAGGAAGCTGGGCCATGGAAACCTTAAGTGATATATCCTGATTCACATCAAAGATCACAAACAGAGCTGAAGTAAAACTCAATATCTTAAGTACCATATTTGCTATATGACTGACACAAGTAGAATCACTAAACAACCCCCAATACATTTGGCAATTTTATGTATTCCATGGCCCGTATCTTTCTCTTGTGTAGAGAGCCCTACCTCAGCCTATTTTCTCTTTTCTAAATTCAAGTTATCTTTCAGGGCGTTGCTTATGTCTTTTTTTTTTTTTTTTTAAGAAACGTGCATGGTTAAAGGGTAATGTTTAAGAAAGCTGAGTTTCTAAATGAAACCTGATCTCATGGATACAGAAGACAATCTGATGAATGCCAGACAGAACGGGCTGGGTCTGCATGAAAAGGGTGAAGAGATGAAGAAGTACAAACTAGTAGTTGCAGAATGGTCACCGAGATGTAGATTACGGCATGGGGGATGTAGTCAATAGTACTGTAATGGCTATGTGTAGAGCCAGATGGGTGATAGAGTAATCGGTGGAATCACTTTATAAATTATATAAATGTCTAACCAATAGATTGTATACCTGAAACGAATATAATTTTTTTTTTTAAATCTGAGTTTCAGTCCCAGCTCTACCTCTTCAGCCACCATGAGGTAGGGCAGGCAAGTTCTTAACTTCACTGCACCTAGGTTTTGCCTTTTGCAAAATGGTAATAACTCCCAGGGCTTTGTGAGTATTAAAAAGAGATGTTGGTGAAATGCTCAGAGCACAAAAAGGGTACACAATTAAATAGGGGTTTTAAATAATTTCTTCCCTGCACTCCAAAGCTAGGCATGATCTCCCCTCCACTGAACTCCTAGTGGACACATTCAATTCAATTAATATTCAGTTCGTATTCAATTCACTGAGAAATTGCAGGAACCATAAGTTCACATCCCTATATAGGCCAGGCAGGTATCATGAAAATGTTAAGGAAACTATAGCTTCTTTCACATTGGTGTCCTGTGTTGCATTTTTTTTCTCACAAACCCATATATTTGCATATTAAAACATATAGGAATATTCTTCACTCCACAAAGACACATTTTCTCCAGGGTGGAAATACTGACGTGCCCCATACAGTGGGGCTGACCAGGGGATGGGGCAGAACACGAGTCAGCAACGGCCATGTTAGAAACCAGTATGGGAGTGTTTCTTACTAGCATATGCCAGTCGAATATCAGCCTTGGTTCTCTCCCATTTTTTCAAACATGCAGGCTTTGTCGTCTACCCTTTGTTTTCCTATTTTTGATAGAGTCATGAGTACAAAGAAATATTCTTTGAGAAGTGCATATTCATTTAAAGCAGACAGCCCTCATTCAGCTCCAGACAAACATTGTCTTATGCCAGTTGGAACTTCCAATCTTTCAAGAGAAGCTAGAAATGCACATTTTTTGTATTGAATCATTATTGTTGGCTCAATAAATTTTTTAAATCTCTGTGCAGTTCAAACACTGTAACCTGTGGCTTATTGGATGCATATTATATTCCAGGCATTGCAAGAATTTGCAAAGATATGAATTCTGCCCTTAAGGGACTAGTCACCTGACGGAGCAGATAGTCCGATGATCAGGGTATAACTACTTTGTATTACTAGTAAATTTTCTTGTGTGTATTTCATATCATTCAACCAGTTGTAAGAATGCTGTGCTGTATTTGTCCTCAGCACCAAGTGCTTTGTTCATAATGTCCTGATCGAGTTGTCCTAATGATCACTGGCTTAGTCTGTACAGTCTGTATCATATGAAGTGAACATATGATAACATAGATGTACAGCCATTCCAATTAAGTCATCTTCTCTCTGCATAATCAGTCTCACAGTAAGTACCTTGCAGACAGTAGGCAAGGAATAAACCTGGAATTGAACCAACCTGATCTGTTATATAGCAGTTGGTTAAAGACACAGACTACATGTGAGAACAGAGCAGAAAAAAAAAGTAAAAATGCAGGGCTCCTTTGCGAGACTCATATGGGAAACCAAATTTGGAAGACTGCTAAGACTGGCACTTCGTTCTCAACCTTTATTTTCCATGCCAAACCAGGGCCTCCTGGTTATTCTCTGGAATCACGTGAAATACAAAGGCAGAGACAAAAACTCAATTAGATTATTTTGCCAGAACACAAAATCTAGCTGTAACTTATCACCTTTGAAAATATAAGAATGTCTAGATAAAAGAAAGAATACCTTAAAACTCAAAAGAGTTCATCCATATAAATAAATCATATAAATATTATCAAATAAATATTATCACATCTTACAAAGATAGATTTTTTAAATTCATACTTTTATGATAAAAATTGGCATAGTTTACCTGCTTCCAGGCCTTTTTCTCTGCTTGTTCAAAATATGTGTATATGTTTGCATATGGCTATTTTTTCCAATAACATTGGAATTATACTCTATACTGTTCAGTCAGTTCATGTTGATCGGCCCCTATTCTAAGACTACATAGTGTTTTATAGTATTGACATACCATATTTTCTTTAACCACTTCTCTATTGAAAACCGGTTAAGGTTGTCTATGATTTTTCATCCTTACAAACAATGGTGCAGTAAATATCACCAGTTTATATTTTAATTTGCTTTTTAACTTTAACAGGACTATGGAAACTGAAGTCATTGCAGAGTTTGGATCTGTCATTCAATAAGATATCACAAATTGGTGTGTCTGATTTTCACAACTGCCTGCAACTGGAGAACCTCTATTTAAAGAGCAATGAGATATTCAGAATTCATCCAAGAGCCTTCAAGGACCTCAAAAAATTACAGGTCATAAAATAATTTTTACAATATTTCGAATATGCAAACATATGGGCAATTTACCTTAGAAAAATATGTATTTTGAAGAGTTTCTTCATGACCAATAGTACTATTAATCAGAAAAGTAAGTCTATTTTGAGATTCCCCCAAAATTGCTGAAGTCTCTCTCTTGTCTTAAAAATGAGAGGCCTCAGCAACGTACATGAATTTTACTCAAACATGATACTCAGCATCAATAATTGGCACATTGTTTTTCTAAATCAAATTAAAGCCAACTCCAAGTTTCCACTTGCCAGTTGGCAAGAAATTAAATCTTTGCTACTAGTGAGGCTCCCTCCCTGAGCTGCAAGGTCAGCAAAGATTCTGGGGGCCTTAAGCAATCTGGAACACTTGGTGAGGTTCCTCTAAAGCAACTTGGTCGATGCTGAGATGTCACTAGCCCAGGACTAGTGACCCTGGCTTCCGTCCCAAAATTGGGCATGGAATAACAAAAGTGATCATGATAAAAGCTCATACTTCTATGGCACTTCCCATGTGCCACATACTGTTCTAAACGTCAGCTTCTTATTGGGGAGAATCCATGTCACATTTTGGAGCAGCTTGGCCGTTAATCTCACTAAAGGGGTGAGGTGAGGTGATGGTGAGGAAGCCCCAAAGCTCCAAAACTCTGCTCTGGTTTTGGCAGCTTCAGTGCCTTCTCCTCCAAACACTTTCCTCTACTCTCCTCCTCTTTGGGGGATGTTGTAAAATCTCCCCTCGGTGCTCTTTTAGAAATACCAGGGTGGCCTCCAGAGTGGCACCTTGAGATGCCTTGGGGAGAACTTTAGTCCCTCAATCTGTAACCACCATCCTTATACAGGCACGATTGTTCCATAGAAACATAATGTGAGCCACATATGCCATTTCATATATTCTAGTAACTAGATTTTAAAAGTAAAAATAAGCAGATGAATTTCATTCTAGTAATAATTTATAAACTAATATACCTAAATGTTATCTTCCACACATGCAATCAGTATAAAAATTATTAATGAGCTATTTTACATTCTCTTTTTCACACTGTCTTCAAAACCTGGTGTGTATTTTTTACACTTACTGCACATCCCAATTTGGACTGATGTGTGGCTAGTGGCTGTCATCTTAGACAGCTGAAATTTCCCCAATTTTGTGTAAGGTGATATTCAAAAATAGCTTCAAGATAAATCTCTAACTCCCCCCTTTCAACCAGAATGACTCCCCAGATTCCCCCTCTATTGAAGAGTAGCTAGTGAAGCAATGGTGAGACTCTGGAGTCAGCTTCCTGGGTTTAAACCTAGACTGTCACTTACTAGCCACATGATCTTTGGCAAGTTACCAAATCTCTGTGTGCCTTTCCCATCTGTAAAATGGAGATGGCTTGGATTCTTTATCATAGAGTTTTGTGACAATTAAATATTTTAATACATATAAAGTGCTTCGAACAATACTTGGAACACAGTAAGCTCTTTATAAATGTAGACTATGTATAGAAATTCTAAAGTGACCACAGCACCCTACTCTTTTAACATATAAATCTGATTATGCCACTTTTTTTTTTAAGCCCTTCTAAACTTTCACAAGAGCCCGGCTGCTGCCTGCCTCTCCAGGCTCATTTCAGCTCTCCCCATTCTTGCTGTACTCCTGCCTGTTTCCACCTTGAGCCCTCTCCACTTGCTGATCTTTTGCCTGGAAGAGCTTATTAATTCTTCCAATGTCACTTTCTCAAGGATGCCTTCCCTGGGCCTCCAGATTGAATTAGTTGCCCTTTTTTACACTCTCACACAATATGATATGCTTTTTTCACATTGCCCTTATCAGAACTGAAACGATTCAGTTTTAGGTACGGTTAGTTGTTATGCCTATATCCCCACGTGGTTGTCGGCAGGATTCATAACCCTTCTATAAGACAGTAAGCTCTTTGAAGACATACATCACATCTATTTTGTTTTCTAGTGCTTAGCATATGTCTAATACATAGCACATATTTAAAAACACTTGTCGAATAAACAGAGGAATGAATGAATGATTGATGATCATGGATAGGTGTGTTAGTTATCTATTGTCGCATAACAAATTACTACAGACTTAGCAGTCTAAAACCACACACATATATTATCTCACGATTTATGTGGGTCAGGAATCCAGGCAAGGCTTAGTCGGGTCTTCTGCTAAGGGCCTCTCAAGAGCCTGCAGTCAAGGAATGGGCCAGGACTGGAGTCTTGCCTGAAGGGCCAACCAGAGAAGTACCCATCTCTAAGCTCACATGGTTGTCGTCAGGATTCAGTTCCTTGTAGGCTGTTGGACTGAGGGCTCGATTCCTCCTTGGCTCTCAGGCTAAGCCTGCCCCCAGTTCTGTGCCATGTGGGCCTCTCTACAAGACAGTTCACAGCTGTCAGCTTGCTTCAGAGCCCAAAGGAGAGCGCCTACTAGTAAGAAGAACATTATAATCTTAAGTAATGTAATCATGGAAGTGACATCCCATTATTTTTGCCATACGCTGTTGGTTAGAACCAAGTCACAGGCCTCACCTACACTCAAGGGGAAAAGATTACCCAAGGGTGTTAACTGGGAGGCAGGGTCATTGCAGACCATCTTAGAATCTGTCTGCCACGGTAATTATTAGCGTAGATGAGAAAGCCCACTTAACTTGGCAGTGCTCCCCAAATCAGCACAAACAGGTTGTCAGATTGCCTCAGAACCTCACTTAGTATGTTGTGTACTGATTATAAGTATATCTGTATGTGTGATTGCCCTATGTTTGTTTTATTTTCTATGCATTTTTACTGTGCTTTATAAGTCTTCTTCAACTCACAGCACTATAGGCAAATGAAAAAACAACCCAAGAATGTTTTAAATCATCTGTAATTCTCAATTCACCTGAACTGCCAAGAATTATACAATATCTGCTTTATTACTCCTTCTACATGTTTAGCAATAACTTAAAAACTGGCTTTGGAACATGATGAACATATTTGGTACCAGAAAGCTGCAGATTAAAATAGATGGTTTTCTTTTTTCAGGAGACGTAGTTAATACTTACACTACACAATATGTCATCCCATGTTGTATTCTTCTCAGAAGCCAGATAGAGTTTTCAGAGCACGAATTCATCACTTTTTTAGATAGAATAAATTAAGTTTCACTGGCATTTCAAATTAGCATTACTTTTTTTTTTTTTTATCTTATTCCATTCTTCGTAGATTCAGTGATTTGTGTAGCAACATCATATGGTTCTCTCAATCTTCCTATAATGTACTCTTCTTTCAAATAATGGTGGATGGCTATTTCTTGTGGTTGTACTATTGGGTTTTAATCTTTTCTCAGAAATTATTTCTTCTGAATCATTTTATTAGTTTTCTGTTCTGTCTCCAGTTTTGCTTTCAGATCCATGATTTGTAATATAATAGCTGCTAGAATGAAAAAAAATGCAGATGTGCATTAAAAAAGAAAATAACTACTTGAAAAACAGGCTATCTCACTCTTTTTGAGGAGGCATACATAAGAAAACCACTGATCCTAGTCAAGGCTGGGCCAAAGCAGTTTTTTTCTTCCCAGTCTCAGTCTCCTACTTTCTAGCTTTGTCAACCTTCCTTTGGAAATCAAGACTGCTTAGTTACCCAACACTGGAAAAGTCACCCTCACTACCTAAGTTCAGGGAGAATTCTGATTCTATATGTAGTGGCCTTGGTTATGGTGCTGTTGGATTGTTTGTTTGAAGCAGCTCTTCTTAGGAGTTTATATAACCCAAGGTATCAATGCTGCTTTTTCCCTGATGTTTATAAAACAATTGTCCTAGGTAAGATTCAGCCTCTCTGGTTTTCACCATAGCCCTCTTTTTATTTCAGCAAGGTTTGCATTCTTTTATGATTTTCTCTTCTTCTGATAACCATCTGTCCCTCCCCAGACCCCAAGACCACAGTCTGGTGCCTCATGCTCCAAGCTTCTGCCACCCAGGCCTTCGCTCAGGCTCCAAGAGGGTGTGATCTGGAGTAAACTGCACACACTGTGAAGCCAAATCAGATCTCAACTCTGCCACTTCATTCACTCATTTCTTTCTCTATTATTTACTGAGCACCTGCTATGTACCAGGCGCTATTACTAGGGGCTATGTGGGATATACTGTGTGACCCAGCCCCATTTCCTACTCTGTAAGAAAGGGGGAAACGAGGAATCTGTTGGGAGGACTAGCGATAATCTAGGCAGAGCACTCAGCAGAATGCCAGTACGCAGCAGTGCTTTGCAAACGGTGGCTGAAGCTGAACCTAACTATGCTTTCCCTGCTGTATCATGCCACTGCCAGTGCCAATATCAACAGATCATTCTCTGTTTCTAGTGCCACTAAATAGCTTTTTTTCCGTTTCCCCTTCACATCTGATTAGACTAGAAAAATTAGTCACTTGTGTGTTTTAAGTAGCTGTGGATGCAGAGAAATGTACTACTACCCTTGAGATAATACTCGATGCAAAAGACCTGTCCTTGCTACTTCTGGTCAACCACAATTCTTCTGTGTTCCAGTCCTCATCATCCCGTATCTTCTCCACTTTCAACATCGCCATGTATATAGATGTTCTAGACCTTGTATTTAATTCTAGACCTTGATAACAACGGAGAGTCTAGGTTTTATCTAACAGTACAAATCATAACTCATAGGGAAGAAGGAAGGGAAAATAATTAGGCATCTAATATAGGCACCACACTTAAAGATTTGCATACATTTAATTCTAACAACAACCCTGGGAAGTAGGCTCATAGAGAGTAAAACAGTTGCTGAGGTACACAGAGTTGTTAGAGACAGAGCAGAGATTTAAACCCACTACTATTCTCTAATTCTCAAATCTGCACTAAATTCTTATTGCCTCCATAGACCTATAAACAGTATCTGTAACACATTTATTGTCTCTAAAAGTCTTTATCCTCAGACTGTCCTAAATTTCTTTCTCCTTGGGCAGGTTGTAGATCTCAGCAACAATGCTCTGACCACCGTCCTGCCTATGATGCTCATTGCTCTAGAACTTCCCCATCTGGAGGCCGACCTGGCAGACAACCAATGGCAGTGTGACAATAGTGTGACAGTCTTCCAACATTTCATTTCTGAATCTTGGAGGAAAAACTGGAATGTAATTTGCAACAGGTCTATAGGTAAGTCAGTAGTTCCTCTTCTCTCTGAAAAGATTCCAGACAAAATGAAAAAAGCACACGAAGAATTTAGTCCCATTTGAAACAATGACAGCAAGAGTGCTGATCCATGGCATTAGTGAGCCTTGTGCTGTATCATAGAACGATTGCTGGTATCTGTTTTCCTCAGTTAATAAATTATTCTCTTCACGTGCTCAAAGAAACCTAGCTCAACTGCTTCAGAAACCAGTAGATTTGATCAAAAACAGAATTTCACAAGAAGAGGATTTTGTCCTGAAGCCCTAAAATATCATACTTTTATCAAAAAAAAAAAAACTTTTAAAATTTGAAACATGATCATTTAAAATGTTTGCTAGCATTCTAAAAATATAATCCTGTACATACACAAAACATACATATTTCAAGGAGATATTTTTCCTTGATTGTTCCCTGCCACTCCCTAAAGTTCTGGAAAGCTTTTTCTATTACTATTTTGGCTAAATCTCAAACTCCTAACTGGGGTATGGGAAGTCAGATTTTGTTTTTTTCCAATTAGAATTGACATTCAATATTATTTTATGCTAGTTTCAGGTGTACAGCATAGTGGTTAGACATTTGTATAATTTACAAAGTGATCCCCCAATTAGTCTAGTGCCCACCTGACACTATACATAATTATTACAATATTATTGACTATATTCCTCATACTGTACTTCACATCCTTGTCAGATTTTTTTTTAAGTGAGTTCTGGACTCTGTTCTGTTCAAGACTGACATTAAAGGAGAAATAGCCATGCATACCAGGTTTAAAAGAAATCCAAAAAGATCAGAGAGATGTCTCAATGTTGTCAGCCACACTTGTTCCCTTCCTCTCTAAGAGCCACGACTGGCATTTTGAGTGTGAAGGGGAGAATGTCAGGAGCCAGGTGAGAAACCTGAATATCTTTGCTATTTACCAGCACTGGAGAAAGGTAAAGAAATGATAACGTGAACATGGGTAGGGCTGAGGCAGATTTTGCAGGGAGCTGATGAAATGTTCTCACAAACATGTAGTTGGTTAGGATACGGAAGAAAGAGAAGCAATGAGGCTGTTCTGGCTTCTTTCCTCCTGTTGGTCAAGAAGCCTAAGAAAACACAAGCTCCAGGGCCTGTGAGCGGCAGACCTCAGCCTGACAGCCATGTGTAAATGTGTGCAGAGCCATATATATAATATTGGCATTAGATGATCAATCAATCAATTAATCAATCAATAAATCTCAGTAAAGCTGCTTATCATCGTGTACATTAAATACAGCTACATAAGGACTGAGGGCTCACAGAAGCTTTTAAAACCACTGGACTCTCATTTCGGTGTTTGTTCTCACCCTCCCCTTTCAGAGAATGAGGAGGTGCACCGGTGGGCTCCCAGAAGCAGAGCTTCCAGGGAAACCCACATTCCTCACACTAGTCCAAGTCATGTGAAAAGTCTCACAAGGAGCAAAGCCGAGAGGAACCGGGAAGGAATGTACATGCGCTTTTCCACTCTGGGGGAAAAGGCCCATGCCAGCTCTGATACCAGTGAACAGCAGGGACAGCCGTCACAATGGGCAAGGAACCCCCAGGATGAGCAAGCTGCTGGCAGAAAGGAAGCCACTTCCCAGGACCTGGCCCTGGCCGTCTGCCTGGCGGTGTTCATCACGTTCTTCGTGGCCTTCTGCCTGGGGGCTTTGACAAGGCCTTATGTTGACAGACTGTGGCAACAGAGATGCCAGGACAGAAGCCCCGGTTCAGACAGTGCATATTCCAATGAGGGCTTCTACAATGAAGAGAACATACAGCATCCAAGGGTGGATCTGCGCCAAACTCGCCATGATCTAAACCTCTATGAGAATCAAGACTCTTTCTTGGGGACGGAGGTCAGCCCACATGCTGCTGTCATTTATGATAGAACTCTAGAAATGAGCAGAAAGGAGCCTGGCAGCTGGCAGAGCGAAGAACAATGCAGGGGCCACACGCGGGTAGGAAGTAGAGAGAATAACAAGGTTCCAAATGACAGTGCAGCACGGTCTGTTCTTCAAGGAATGCAAAATGCTGGGAATAATGCACAGGTTTCGGCAGGACAGGACCACACCTACAGGAATGATATTCTTGGAATAAATTATGAAACTGTGGCCCAGGACGATTTTCTCAGTGAGCATTCAGTGGGCATCCCTGTGCTGGCTGGCAGATCACAAATGGGCTCTGGCTCAATCCATAAGAATTCAAATGAATTAGACCCACCGCTCTCAAGAGAAATGACAGCTGTGCTCTCTAAAATGCAAACACATACAAGAGCTCAGAGGACTGGAGAGAGCGAGGAAAGAGAGGGCACTGAACAGTTCCCTTTGGAGCTGTCTAAGGAAATGCAGGTGAGCACTTGCATTAGTTTGCTGAGCGCACAGCAGCAAAAGCTCAAGGCAGCCCGTGCTGAGGAAGAGCCGTCCACCTGCTACAGTTCGGCCACACTCAGTGACCCAGGAGATACGGACTCGTCCCCACCAGTCATTCCTCCCGAATACAGTGGCCTACACGTCCCTCCTGCTAACCAGGAACCAGTGCAAAAACATGCTCCTTCTGACACACAGTACGAGCTGGACACCAACTATGATTCTGATGAAGGGTCTTTATTTACTCTAAGTTCAGTAAGTTCAGAGGACGCAAGAAACATGACTGAAGGATGGGCAGATGGTGAGGAGAGCTGTGAGCCCCCGAAGGAGGAGGACTTGAGAATGAGGAAGGCCAATGTTACATCATTCGAGAGTCTTGAGGACAATATCGCCTTCCAGAAGTTTCAGGAGAAATGTGAGAATCAGGAGGCTTGTTTTGAAAAACCTCTCTTTTCTGGTCCAGACTCTGGTTTGCGTGAGAGTCATCTGGAAAGTGCCTCTGACACCACTCAATCTGAGGGTCCGTTGACCTTGCCCGGATCTCTGGGTGATAGTCCTTCCAGCGATAAGGCCCCTGGCACGTTCATTTATGATCATGTTGCAGCTCTTCAGTCCGAGGCAGCAGAGTGGCACTGCTCACTTAGAGACTTGGAATTTTTCAATGTGGATATTTTACCACAAACACCACCATGTTCTGCTGAAGTTTCCTCAGACCCTGATAAGAATGACTATCGTGAAAGTGACTCAGACATTTGTACCTACGAACCTTTCCTTCAGGGATCAGACACAACCCAAAACAGTATTCCTTTCCAGATCACTACAGGGGGAAACTTAAGACCCTCACAACAAGATTCTGAAGGGTGCAACATGAATTCCAGCCCAGTGGACACTGACACAAATGAGGGGTTCATACGTCCTGTTGCGGACTGTGGTTCCAGAGAAGACCGTATAAGCCAAACACAACAGCTACAATTCTGTGGTGATGAACCAGCTCATCAGTGTGAAAGAGGAGAAGGGGAATATTTTGAAGAGGGTCCCAAGAGCCAGGTACCACTATTACAAGAGCCTCCAAATAAAACTAGTTCACTAAGAACACAGGAGCCCTTCAGTGACAGAGACTGGGGTAGATATTCAGAGGAGAAACTGTCACAACTGGAAAAAGATGATTCTAACTTTTATACTCAAATGCAGACCGAGAGCAACCTGATGGGAGCTGGTTCTCTAGGTGAGGACTGGCTCTACTATGACAAAGACAAGGACATTCAAAATCAAAGGGAATTCAAGTAACATCTTTTAACACAGATTGAAGCACTCAGGTGGGACTGCTGAACAGATTTTAACAGATTCTGCACCGAGAACAGCACAGCTTTTGGGAGGCTGATCACGAAGCTACAAAATTGGAGGGATTCAGAGCAATTCTAAATATTTTTTAATAAGTTATATTAAAAGAGGGATCATTTTGTAGAACAAAGTGTAAATTAAAAATTTATTTCAAGGAGAGAAGAGTTGTTTTTGTTTTTGTTTTTGTTTTTGTTTGTAAAAGTAGAAGGGACCCCACCGCTTTGTTTTTGCTTTTGTTTTTGTTTTTGTTTTTGTAAAAGTAGAAGGGACCCCACCATGATCCTTGCTATCCCTTCCTTGGCCTAACTCGCCCCTGGGGACTCTTGGGAGCTGTTCTCTTTTTTCCTGACACTTTCTCCTTTTCTTTCCTGATGCTTCTCCTCTGCTTCTCCTCTGCTTCCTCTCTTAAAAAGCATTTTTCAAAAGTCTGTTCCTAGTCTTTCTTTACCCTCTCCTTAGACCCCAGTGCTTCACAGCCAGCTCTATACAGATGATGCCCAGGTCTGCATGACAAGGCTCAATCTCCCTCCCAAGCTCCAGACTCACATTCTCAACCCTAGTTGTACAAATCCACATAGATCCTCCTGGTACCTAAAATTCATCATTTTTCTTCACAGGCTTGACCTCCTATATTCTATTTCTTGGTCAATAGTATCATGACATCCACCCAGTAAAGCTAGTTAAAATTTCTGACTTATCTCTGACTCCTTTTCCTTCGTTTCCTGTGTCTGAGTAGCCTCTAAGCTCTGTGCAGCAGACGTTCCTATTGGTCTCTACAGGGAGACATTTAGTATGGCAATCTAGATGGGGGCTAAGCAACTTATGTCGACCAGTGTTTGCATAGAAAGCAGCTTGTTTTCACCTACAGTGTATATTTTGGGTAGATTAGGATGGAAGGTGATTGAGTTTGGGGAAGGGCCCTAAGGATCCCCCAATCTAACTGTTGGCATCACCACCAGTCTTCCAGGCCCTAGCTCCTCAGTAACTCTCTTAATAAGCTCTACTCTAAACCCCCAAATAAGGCACATTTCTTATCTATCACCTAGATTATTGTAAGCCCTCTTTATGACCTTTAGTACTTCTCCTGGCTCTCACTCACCCCTGAATAATATATCCTATTCATCTTTCCACTATTCAACTTTTGATAGCTCCCCATTGCCTATATATAAAGACCAAATGCCATGATCGGGACACATCCTACCCTTCCAATTTCATCTCATGACATTATCATTTTGCCACACATTCTATATTCTGGTTTACACCATTTCCATAAATTATTTATTCATTTATTTTAGCAAACTTTTGAGGCTTTCATTGGTCCTTGATTAATCTCCTTGCCTCCGTTCACAATTACTATTTTGAAATTTCTCTGTTCTTAAACTTTTACTGAGAAAATTTAGGCTATCAAGAAGAAACTCCTTCATTCCCCTACCCTAGAGCAGTAAACATTTTACTATCCATAGCTACACTCGCCCCTTTCCTCTAATCCAAGAAGCAAGCGTTCTGTGGTTGATACTCCTTTCTGTCTGCTTTCACTGTAGTCCTGGGCGTGGGTCCACTTACATTCCCCATTCCGGTACATCCAATCCTTCCCTGTCTAATAGCTCCTTCCCACAGGCCAAAAGCATGCTTGAATCCCTCCAACACCACTCTGCAGTTTCCTCAAATACCACAGCTAGGATCCTCGCAGGAGCAGTTAATGACTCTGCTAACCCTTCAAGGCACTGTGGTCAGGCCCACCGTCCCTTTAGCCTGTGCTAGTAGAGGTTGCCCACAACCTACGAATGCCATGTGGCATGGACCTCATGCATAACATCTGCAGCATTTGGCACTGTAGACCAGCAGGCCCTGACCTTTTTGGCACCAGGGACCAGTGCTCCTATGAGGATCTAATGACTGATGATCTGAGGTGGAACTGAGGCAGTGATGCTAGAGCTGGGGAGTGGCTGCAAATACAGATGACGTTTTGCTCACTTGTTGCCGCTCACCTGCTACCGTGCGGCCCAGTTCCTAACAGGCCATGGACTGGTACCGGTCTGTGGCCTGAGGTTTGGGGACTCCTGCTGTAGACCATTCCCACCTTGACATTCTGTTTCTGTGGCTTTGTGACATGACTATAAATGTGAGAAGCCCAGCAGGACACAGATGGCAAGGAACAGGCGTGATTGGAAAGAGTTGAATGAAGGAACCACTTGGAAAGATCTGGACAGGATTAAGGGAAACTGGCAAGGGCAGGTGAAGGACCTGAGAGCTAGCAACAGGGGAAAGCCTTTCCCACCCTTAGGCCTGAAGAGACAAAAGGAATTGCAGCTATAGGTACAAAGCAGAAACCATGATCTTTGGTAGAGGAACATAGCCACGAACAACCCACAGTCCAGCAGGAGAAAGCCCAGAGAATAATCACTTCTCTTCTCGCCCTTCACTCTCCTGACAGTGCTTCCCAGTGGCTGACTTCTGAAAGCCAGAGGGTCGGTCCACAGAGGTCACTCTTCCAGGCCACAGAGAGGAGAAAGGTAGAAAGTAGTTTCAGAGGGACAAATGGAGAATATTCAGCATGTACTTTGTTCTGATTCCTCTTCTTCTACCTCTCTGGTCATTCTCAGGCTCTTATTCTACCTTTCCTTTCTACGTTCACTTAAATATCCATGTGTCCCAGGGCTTGGTCCTGAACCTCTTGTCTTCTCACTCAATTCGCTTTCCCTGTGTGAGCTATCAATTGCAGTCCTCCCACCATCACCTGATTTCTGATATTTCCTGTAACTCCAGCTGTAAATTTTTTCTGGCAGTTCACACTCACATCCCTCTGCCTATTGGATATCCCCATAGACACTTCAAACTAAATGTGTCCAAAACGAAACTCATCAGCTGCCCCTAACCCTTTCCACCCACCGTACCTGATCCTCTGTGTTCCATTTCGCTATCCGCCCATTGCTCCATCCAGTACTCCGGAAGTCATTCTTTGAACTCCCTTCTCCTCACTTCCCACATCTAACTCATTGGTCATTAAGCACAACCAAATCTAGCCCCTAAATATCTGTCAAATCCATTCCCTCCTGTCTGTCCACACCATCACAGCTTTCGCACTCACCGTGACCCCCCCACCGGATCTTTCATAACAGCCACCAACTGTTCTTTACCTCTGTCCTACGTCCTACGTGCCTTTATGATTCTCACACTACAGCCAAGGGGTGGTTTCTGAAATGCAAATAAGGTTGTGTGGTTCCCCTGATTAGAGTCCATTCATAGGTTAAGGGTTTTCTGTTTCTCTAAATTTCCACATAGCTCCGTCTCCAGACCTTTGCCCATGTCACATCTGCCTGAGTGTTCTTTCCAACCCCACCCATCAACCCTCCCCAAACCAGCCCTCCTTTAGCTCCGTAGCTCCTGCTTAGTTCTCAGGTTAATCAACTACCTCCTTACATAAGTATTGTCCTTCACAGAGGAGAGCTTACACAAGTAAAATTAAATAATGATTTGTGTGATTATTGATTTTATGTGTGTCTGCTCCCTTTTTATACTATAAGCACATGAGGACAAAAAATGTATCTCATCTCCCCAAAGCCTTCACCACATGTCTTATCATTTTTGTCTGTGAGCTATCTTCCATGGAGCCCCTTTCTGTGGAGTTCAGTGCCAAGCAAACCTCCTATGCAGGCCAGTCACCAGGTAGCCTCTGTCAGGGCTCTATGACATTTGCTGATTTCAGACCAACTTCTACATAGCTTTACGGATTGTGGTGGAAAAAGTATGAGACTGAAGGGAGTGGGATCGCCACGGAGACCATTGCTATAATTTGGGCATTTGTTACTGAAGTGGGGAGGGAGGACGGAAATGAAAGGACCAACTGGAGAAACGTTGTAAGGGAAGGATCCACAGTGGTGATTGACTAACCCAGTGCCTGTCATATAGTGAATACTGAGTATTTGTCAAATACATGAATGAAAGAATGGAGGGTGGGAGGAAGGGAAGGAGGAGGTAGGGATGGTAGAGAATTCTGCTATAATGAGGTTCAGTAGATCTTTTTAAATCTAGATAATCCTGTCTATGGCCATGCCACCCTGAATGTGACCGATCTCATCTGATCTCAGAAACTAAGCAAGGTCGGGCCTGGTTAGTACTTGGATGGGAGACCACCTAGGAATACCAGGTGCTGTAGGCATTAAAAATAAATAAATAGGTAAATAAGCAAGCAAGCAAGCAAGTAAAGTAAGTGAATGAATGAATCTAGATAATCTTCTCTCCACTAGCACCTCTTTTACCTCCATTGACTTGCTAAAGAAACAAGGTAAATTGTCCTGCAGAGTTTCCTACATTCTGGATTTGGCAAATTACTTCCTCCTAGTATCATTTTATTCCATCTAAGATTTAGAATTCTCGTTGTTCCTGTGTCCAGAAGTCATTTCTCTATTACTTGCCTGTGAAAATCCCACTCACCCTTTAGGACCTGGCTCTAAAGCTGCTCCTGTCTTTATGAAGCCTCCCTTGGTTGTTCCAGAATCAACCTTCCTCATTCCTGTCTCTGTGCTCCCCAAACACATACCTTGTAATTCTATTTAGCTTTTATTTCATTCTGCTTTGAACTGCGTTATTTTTCTGACATCACTGTGTCTTGGTAGATGTCCCAGGATAATCTTCGGGAGCTTGCTCCTTCCCTAAAATCATGTAACGAGACTTCAGACATGCTTTCTTTAGTCATCAGACTGTCCTCCAAACATACCGAGACAAAACACTGGCTGATGAAAGTCGGTTACTAAAGAATAGCGTAGATTTAGGTTCTAATATCACATTTGACATGTAAGCATGGGACTGACTTTTTGCCTAATACTTTTAATAGGGTTGGTGGGCAGCCCAGGCCCTCAAATCTGGCCCTTCTTGATGTGGGTCAGGATTACACCACTGACCCCCTAAAAAGGGAGGGCCCCTTGACTTTCTCTGCAGGGTAGCCCTGCAAGGCAGCAGGGTGTGCACCTGCTGGGAGGCTCCAGGCTGTCAGAATGACCCCCACTTCCTGCTTTTCTCTGGAGCTCCACCCAGAAGGGCTGGAGGTGGCATCAAAGCTTCCTAGGGGTTTACCCATACTCATGGGGCTGCACAAAGATCCACACCTTTAGAGAAAAAAGAACCTGCTCCCAATTTTATTCCCAGAACTGGAAAGTCGGTCCTTAGACTAATGCAACCCGTGTCCTAGACTGTAAGCGCATTGAGAGAAAGATCATGTTTTATACATACCTCCCACCCTCTACATTCCAGTGTCAAATATGGAACAGAACGTAAGGACAGTCAAAGTTCAAATAACCCTGATGTGGTGAATTATTTCATCAAAATAGTAAACATAAAGCTGACTCTTCAGCTTTAATGAAATGTAGTTAGATATAGCTAATAAACAAAGAGAATTGGCAGAGCCTTAACCAACTCTGGGTGGAGGTTTGTTACTCACTCAACAGCCAATGAGCTGGAAGCAGGGAGCCGTTGATGAGTTCCCGCAGCTGTTGCCTAGAATCTGCTGTCGAAATTATAGATGCTTTTCTAATTAAACGTAAAGTTCTAAAATGAACAAAAATGAAAAATAATCTCTCAGTGTCTACTTTAGAAAAAAAGAACATTTTATTAATTCTAGATATTCCCCATAAATTCTTTGCATTCGTGTAAAGTCAAGTTTTTCTCTATACTTAATGCCCTTAATAACTAGTATAAATATTGCAGTCATTTCTGACATCTCATTGATTTAAAAGCTCGTTTCCATTCAAATGCAATGCTTTGACCATTTAAATAGCAGTTACCTGAGTATACCTAGAGTTACATACACGTTCATTGACTATTTTAAATTCACTAATTATTAACATTTTTGCCATATTTGCGTTTTTGCACTATCTTACTCTCTTTATAAATATAAACATATATACATTTATGTATGTATATATATGCACATATATAGTATTTTATCTGATGTATAAAATTTTATATGTATAAACTCATATAGCTATACAAGGTATTCATTAAACATAGAAACATAGGTGAATACACATAATGTTGTCACAAATATCTTCAGCCTGAAAAATAATAAAACAGTATTACCTGTTTCCAGACTCTGGACAATTATAGGTACCAAAATCACTATTACACGTTTTTGTTTCGCCTCAGCATCAATTTATGAATGTTTGTCACATTCCCTGAACACCATCCGCACACTCTTCAGTAAGAATAAACTTCTGATGCTGGATGATGAAAAATAATGTTGATAATTATGCAGGGAAAGACAAATTCGCTTCCTTTTTTTTTTTTTCTCTTCAAACTTGTCATTCTGTTCTTCCTTAGAGATGATATAGATAACTGCAGTGACTTCCGGGAAGCATTGTTGCAACTAGGAGCAGTTTCTAGGAGAATAATGAGGTCAGAACTGGAAAGAGCCCACTATTTAGTCCAACCTTATCCTGTAGATGAGGAAACTGAAGCACAGATTAATAAATTATGTGCCCAATGCCACCCCGCTAATTCTCGTTTCCAACCAGAAATCACTTTGGACAGCTAGCATTGGCGAGGGAGATTCTACCCTTTCCTCTCCCACCCCTGCTGTTTGTCTCCCCTCTGGCCAACTACCACCCAGGAGATTTAGAACACATTCTTCCTAGGATATCACAGCATCTTCCAGACACTCCTTCACAGGAAAACCGGCTACCTGCGGCAGCAAACGTGGTGGCTGGCATCCTCACTGCTCCACTCACTGGGACAGGTGGTGGGACCCAATGACTGGATGTAGCCCTGTGCTTTCCACAGTCCCAATCCGAATTTCCCTTTCCTGCTATCTGAGGTGGGCTTCACGAAGCCAGCTTCAAGAGTCAGGGCTTCCAGTTCTCGCTCTCCGCTCTTTGCTACTCTCTCGGGATCCCGGGGAGCCCTGAGCTTCTCCCTCTGCTGATCCCGCAATGGCTTTCCTCTCAGGTCACCTAGGCTTGCAGGGAACCTCTACAGCCACAGGAGCAATAACAACTAAAACAGCCCTCAATTGCCCACACCCCTATATATATCATAATAATATATGTATATACATATATATATACATATATATATACACACACATATATATACACACATACACACATACACATATATATACACATATCTACATATATATGTATAACATATTAATATATTCTTATATATTATTATGATAATATATATTCTTATATTATTATTATAATAATATATTATACATATACATATTACATATATATTTCAGCCACTGGAGTGTGTGTGTCCTGGAGTTGTTCCTGTCACAGACAGTCCTGTCCCAGTGACTCCAGGGCAGTGCCCCAGTTTGCTCTAAGCCTAGCTTCCCTGCCTCCTCCCAGCACCAGTGGCAGCTGCAGGCTGTGTGCCTCACTCCCCCTCACAGGGAGACTGGGCACAGTACAGGACCTCAAGAAAAAAGAAGTGCTCCACTCAATGTCTTCCGTTTACTGAGAGAGAATATCAGCCAACACTGCTGGCTGTGACTCTGAGTTTAATTAGAGCTGCCAGATTTAGCAAATGTAAAAATACAGGATGCCCAGTTGAGTTTGCCTTTCAGGTAATCAACAAATAATTTCCTGATATTTAAGTATGTCCTATGCAATACTGGGGATTTATTTATATCGAAATATTATTTGTTGTTTATCCGAAATTCAGTTTCAACTGGGTGATCTGTATTTTACCTGGCAACCCTGCTATTGTAATGTTCAAATACTAAAATGAACTGAAAAATCTTCCACCCAAGGTACTGAAAGAGTCTGCAGTTCGGTAAGGATAGAAGAAAGCAAATCTTGCTGAGCTACATTTGCTGCAGCAAAGAAGTGATTAGATGTCTGGTATGTTCTGCATTAGGCATTAAGCACATGCCATCCATGCCTACAAAAGTGCCTCCCTCAAAGCCTAGGTAATGATTTACAAAGCAATAAACGTGGAAATTCACTCATATCCAAATTCAGAGGGGAGGATATCCAGAACATCAAGTCCTGCCTGCAGTTGTCAAGGAAAAAACAAAATAAACCGTGAAAAAATCAAATCGCTGCAAAAGTGTTTTCTTGCAGAGAAGTGAAGAGTTACTTGTAGGGAGAGTGAATTATATAAAAGCTTTCCATTGGGAAAAGGAGAAGCTCTGGAGGGCCTCTATTCTGTAAATTCGGCCACTGGTAGTCACACCACTCACACACAAAATCCACCTTAGCCTGGACCCAATGGCTTCAAAATACATCGGCCTTTTCTTTGGCTGACTCAGCAGCCTGGAATGAATTACTTTCAGTTAACTCAGTGGCATATTTTAAAATACCATAAGCACTAATTTGGCTAGCTAAATTGTACTCATGTACACACAGAAACACTCTTGCATTTACCACTCAATTCAGCTGAACACCTCTAATGGGCAAAAAACTGTGCAAGCCGTGGGGTGAGGATAGGTCGTGGGGTGTGAGGGAGCATGGGGGTGGGGGCTGGACCAACACCGTCCTGCTCTCAGAGCGCTTAGAATCCAGAGAGAAAGACTCGCAAAGGTGAGCTTCTGACACCGCAACTACTAGTATGTGCTTCCAGAGAAATCAATCCCATGGCTGGGAAGGTGTGGTGGAAGAGGGTTCGGAATGAGAGGGAGGTGGGAAATATGCATGCTAGACTTCTGTCCATGTTGTAAAGTAATTTACGGGTGGATGCAGAAGGAATGCCAATGTATTATTTAGATCACATATCTAAATAATAGATGTTAAATTGAATCCAAAAGTACTGAAATGTAATGGGCTATGGCCCTATGGGGGTCAGTAGAGGAAAAATCAATTTATGCATGCATGAACAAGATTCAATTTACGTTTAGTGATGAAGGCCCATTTTGAACAGTCTAAATCTAGAGATGGAAGCATGTGGAAATTTTGTCTTTGAGTACATAGTGTTATGAACTGCAATATGTAAGCAAAATTCTACACACTGGAGGAAATGCTAATAATGCTGAATGCTAATAAATAAAATTACCATTAAGCAAAACATGACATGGTTGTTTTTAAAAATGTGAATCCTGACCTAGAAGTAAATTATAGATTGCTCTTTTGTTAGTCTCCATGAAAAGATAGTTAGGACATGCACAGTTTCCACCGAGTAGCTAGATCATGTCACTGATCTTCCAAATCAGCTCCCTCCTTGGTCCACAGCACCCCTGTGTCACCTACGCTGCCTGCCTCATCGCCAACTACCCCACCTTCAATTCTCCTTGACCACAACACTTCAACCACACCAGCTTCTTTCAGCTCCCAAAACACCCCAAGTGTGATCCCTCTCAGCTCCCAGAACACACCAAGCACGGTCCCTTCTGCTCCCAGAAATCCCCAAACGTAGTCCCTCTCATTACCCAGAACACCCAAGCATGGTCCCTTCTGATGTTCCCTCTGTGTGGAATGTGCTGTCCATAATTCTCACTATAGTTTCTTGTTGTAAGGAAGATCTCAGCTCAGATCTCACCTTCACAATAGGCCTTCCCACCTTACCCTGCCTATAGGAGCACACCCTGCCCAAAGCTTTCTTTATCGCACTTTGGTGTTGTCTTCATACCATCTAAAATCATCTACGATATTTTTATTCATTAAATGTTTCCTTGTATTTTTGTCTGTTTTCCCAATAAGGACAAAAATCTTATTTGTCTTGGTCACTAGAGCAGCCCCTGGCCTGGGGACAGTGCCTGGCACAGAGTAGGTACTCAATAAAAACCTGTTCATTGAACAAATAAATTTCAACTCCAGGTAAACCATAGACAGTGCTTTTCATCATAGTTGTATTAGAAAGGACACACATGTTAGGGAAAAAGACCCAGACTGTTCACTTTTCAAAAGTGACTAAAGAAAAATATAATAATCTCCTCTAATTATGGGTTTATGTGATTTCAGGGGAAGCATCCCCATGTTCTAGAAAAGTTTTAAATCAGGAAAAAAATGTTTACTATTCCTGACTTTCAACCTAACTTTTTCTTCACTTAAAACATTTCATAAAATTTCAATAGAGGGGGCTACCAAGTACTGGCTCCCTAACAATTTTCACCATTGAAAGATACATTTTGACCCACATATGATTTGACCCAATTTTAAAAATTTATTTTAATTAGTTTCAAGTATACAGTACATTGGTTAGACATCTATATAGTTCACAAAGCAATCCTTCTAATTGCTCCCTCCCTCCCGTGACCCTCTGCCTAGCCAACATATTAATGCTAATTGCATTCCCAATGCTGTGCTCCCCATCCCAGTGACCATCCATCAGCTACTAATTTGTACTTCTTTAACCCTTCACCCCATTCTTCCAGTCCCCCACACCTGCTCCCCACATCCATCACCAAATTGTCCACTATATTTGTGAATCTGTTTTTGATTAGTTTGTTCTTTTTATTCCTTAGATTCTGCATATAAGTGAAATCATGTGGTATTTATCTTTCTCTGTCTGACTTATTTCACTCAGCATAATGACCTCTAGGTCCATTCATGCTGTTGCAAATGGTAGGATTTCATTTATTTTAATAGCTGAGTAATAGTCCATTGTATATATGAACCATAACTTCTTTATCCAATCTTCTGTTGAAGGGCATTTAGGTTGCTTCCATATCTTCGTTATTGTAAATTGTGCTGCCATGAATATTGGGGTGCATAGATCTTTAAGAATTATTGTTTTGGTTTTCTTTGGATAAATACCCAGACGTAGAATTGCTGGGTTGTATGGTAATTCTATTTTTAATTTTTTAAGAAATCATCATACTGTTTTTCATAATAGCTGTACCAATTTACATCCCACCAACAGTGCACATTTTTTTTCTCCACATTCTTGTCAACACTTGTTGTTTGTTGATTTATTGATAATAGCCATTCTGACAGGTGTGAAGTGATATCTCATGGTGGCTTTGATTTGCATTTCTCTGATGATTAATGATGTTGAACATATATCATGTTTCTGTTGGCTATCTCTATGTCTTCTTTGGAGAAATGTCTTTAAGTCTTCTTCCCATTTTTTAATTAGAGTTTGTTTTGTTTCATTTTTGATGTTGAGCTGTGA